AAATAAAACAGTCTGCCTGATGGCTCAGATGGGGCTGCAGATCCGACTGCAATCAAAAGAGGTACAACAAATGTTGTTGAGTTATCTAGCTAATTTTTGGAGCGAAATCTTGTCTTAAAATTGGATTTAATGATCCAGATTGAGCCTCTGACTCAGCTTTCAAGAGTTTCTTTGTCAGCATCCTGTTTTCAGAAATTGAGAAAAAGTTTTCATTGAGGTTTTGTGTTTTTTTGTTTGGTAAATGTGGTAGGTGAAATATGCGTCATCTTTGTGTCACGAGACAATCGCTAATCCTACATCTCCAGGAAGTACACGTTGAAGAAACCCTGCAGTTGCCTGACTTCTGTCTTAATATTTTTCAGGCCAATGGAACCTTCACTGTTCAGCCAAACAAGACCACCCCATCTGGATTTTGTAAAGAAACCACGGCCAACCTTACCCTTTCCTTCAAGGAAGGTTTCATTACCTTCCTCTTCAACAAGGTACTTTTGAGTTCCTTCCTAGCGTTGTCATAAATGTGCTATTATAACGGCCAGAGTTGGTGGTAGTGGTGGCAATGAGATCAGTCCTGGTTTTTGTCGTAACTCAGTTTCTACCTGTAATCAAATTAGGACAATCAACTCATTGAGTTTTTTGGTAGTGATGAATGAATTGTTTAACTTTATAAAAAGAAGAAATGGTAGGGGAAAAAAAGAGAGAAGTGTATTTGACAGGAACATGTGACAGGGAAACCGCATCACACTGCTTCACTCTCTGTGATTCATTTGTGGTTTTCAGAGTGACAAAGCACATGAATGTTGAAACTGCTTGTTTAAGCATAAAGTTAATGTAAAGTACAAAACTGAAGCAGAATTACAATAACAACGCAGCCTGGTAACCCTCGTGACGTATTCATTTGCAGATCAGCAACCACAGTGGAACAGGTGAATTTGAAGTGTTTTTGATGTTCCTCTTTACTAAGAAAACAGAAGATTAGATACAATGTTTTTAAAATGTTCTTTGGTTACGTCTGTTATTTTGCCATATTTGGGTACTTTATTACTAAAACTCTACTGGCATGCAGTGCAGCTCTCATAAAAGGTTTTCTTTTTATTCCATTGCTGAAAAAGGGAAGTATGTTACTGTGGTTTAAGTTCCATAGTCTAGAATCAATTAAACCCCACAGCCCCCCTTACTATTAGAATTCAAATATCTTAGCAAAGTTAACAGGTCATTGGTTAGCACTCCAAAACTAGTTGCATCAGTGTGGCAGCATATATATACTATAGTAGGAGTACATCCCTGTGCAATATCACTTAAATGTCACTTTACAGTAGTTGAATGACTACTGGAAAGACATTCTGCCATACCAAGAGAACATTTTCAGTTATAGTGTTTCCTTTTATGTTCTTTAGAAACCCTTGTGTGATTTTGACAGTGTGCTTTAGATCATTATCATGATGACATTTTACTCCTCTGCTAAGCCTCTGCAGACTGGGAGTCATCTGGTCAGCCAGTATTTTGGTATATCCACAGACATCTATGGTGTCATCTATAAAAATACTCTCCCCAACACCTCTCGTTCTCATGCAGCCCCATGTTATCAAACTACCACCTCCATGCCCCACTGTCAGGGCTATGCATGTAGTTCTGTCCAGGTTCACACTAAAATTGCCAAACCCATTTTAAACTGAACACGTTTAGCTTGTTTGTTGTGACCGCAGGATGTGATCTGAGTATTCACCAGGCTCATTTTGCAGTTTTGTGCCAAGTAGCAAGGTTGCTTTTCTTGGATGGCGTCCACAGAGGTTGACATAATGCACTGTCCTCACTACGTGAACTGTCACAGAAGCTCTCACCAGTCTCTTACACAAGTAGATTGTGCAAGTAGTGCACTGTCCGTGGTGTCATGTAAAGAAGACAACCACTGTGGCTTTGATTTGTGGTACGATAGTTCATTCTATACCTCCTGTATACTGCTGCAACTGTGTTTCCATGTGTGTTTAGTTGGTCGCTGTTCTGCCTTGATCCTTTTTCACCTTTGTACAGACTGACTATCAGACATTTCAATTCCCCTGGCAGTTTGTTTTCATGTGAAGCCATGATGCGGGCATGCAGATAGACGCAGCTCATAGGTCCAAAGCATGAGAAAGCTGTGGTCTATTTATTCTGTGTTTTTAGCCATCAGAAACAGTCTTTCAGAGCCCAAACCTGAAGAATTATTGTATAAGTTTAAGCACAGTTTATGCAAGTGGGGCACAGGTTTAAGAACTGCTATTATTAATATTACACGGTATGTTGTGTATGAATATAGTGTTTACAAACCTTTCTAGTGGGCTAATAGTTTTTTTGAAAAATGCAGTGAAACATTACATGCAAATTCGTAACAGCCAGCTATATTGTATCTGTCATGTAGGTCGACTGCCACTAAGACGGTGATAAATACATGAGGGTTAATAAAAAAAACAGTAACATTTGGTTGAACTGGTCAGACAGGCTCTGTTAGCAGCTGAGAGACAACTTGTTTTGCTGTGAAGAGATCTTTGTTTGTTCTGACCTCTGTTTGTTCTGAACATAGCGCTCAGGTGGTGGCACTCAGATAAAATCACAGATGATCAGTGTTCCTAATCACAGTCTTGTATGCTCACTGAAATAAAAAAACATCGTCCCGTATGTATTTACAGTAAGGATTTTGCATGCTGCCCGTAGCACAGTCTGTCATTGGATAACCACTTGATGAAAAGCTGACCTGTTTTCTTTTATTCTCCTCAGAGCGTTGCCAACAACACTGCATTTGTCAATGCTCTGTCTTTCTCAGTGACATCGCTCAAAGGAGGTAAGTCTGAAATTTTAGGTGTTGTGTTTTCCGCTGTTGCATCCACTCACCTTTGGACTCTTTATTGGGTCACTGCCTGCGCACTGATATTTCAGCAACAGGTTGGTGTTGCACAAGGCTGGCAAAGATTAACAAGAAATATTTAGAGCCGGTAGCTTCCTCGTTTGTGTGTGTCTGTTCTGCTATGTTTAGACACAACCTGTGGAATTACTGTCAAGCATGTGATGCCAGGAACAATCAACCTATTTCCAGTGATATGTGGTCTAACAAGTTTAGACTGTATCAGATCATAAGCATCTCTCTTTATGTCATCATGTCCTGACAGGACCTGAGCATTACTTTGTTATACCGTTGCAGGTAACGCAGCAAGTACTGCCAAAAACGAGTCAACCCATCTGTTTGCTGCAAAGATCGGACGCTCCTACTCCTGCAGGAATGAATCCATTTACATGGGAAATGGACTGTACCTGGATGTCACTCAAGACAGGCTGCAGGCCTTCAATGTGTCCAACAACGACTTTGGCACTCGTAAGTGTCCTCATTAAAACAAATAAATCACGAGAGCTTCTACTAAATGCATTGTTATAGCTTTTCATGTGAGGAATACTCCTAATACGCTTATTAACAGCAGAATGTGTTGTCAAAAGTAAACAACAACAAAAAAATACTCAGAGTGGCTCCTTTCACAGTCTTATTTTAATGCAGTGTATGTATAGAGTAGTCTACTGGGTAGTTTAAAGTCTAACGCATATCTGTTTTAGATAAACGGATCATAATTTGCATTTGACATCTAAACCTCCAAGATAAGTCTCAGATAATTATAATGGAATAAAAAGCATTTTTTTCAGTATCGGTGGTAGAGAAGAAGTAGCCCGAAGTAGAAATACTCAAAGTACTTAAAAATGCACTTGAACACTAAAACCCTCTCAACCTCCAGTAGTTTCTGGGCATTTTTTTTTTTTTTTGCTCTTGTCATGTTTTTGCTCACTTCTCGGCAATATAAGGTCTTGCTTCCCAATGGAAACCACACTACCACAGATAGAAGTAGGAACCACTCAAAAATGTCCTTGGTTACTTTTTGTTTAATGCTTAGTCATCTGCCAGAGAACCCTACAATCCAGAGTTGCCTTTGTGACCCATCTACGTGAAATCAGTCGCATTGCACTTTGGGCTATATCTGAGATATAGCCCGACTTACGTTAACACGTGATAGATAAAATACTGAATTTGGTTTTATTACTTAGATCGGTCCATTTAGTTGTTTTCTACATGTAGGTAACATATAATATTGTAAGAATGTTACCCAACACAGCCACCTGCAGGTCAGGAAGAGCAGTTTTAACTACAGTTCGACCGTACCAGCTGCCTGTCACTGTTGGGATGTTTAATTTCCCATGCAACAAAAACAGCCTTGAGCTGTTACTGTACTAATAATAAGTTGAAAAATATGAAAATACTTGCTAATTGATCTTTTGTAGGCTGTTGTAGTGACGAACTGTGAAATCAGCAGGACATTTTACTGACACTTCACCTCTTATTGGGTTTTAGAAAAACTGTGAGCAAGTAAGATGTTTGCATAAATCACTATGTGTGTTTTCTAGCTGACAACTGTGCTGCTGACCAGCCCGATTACCGCGTTGCCATCGCGGTGGGAGTGACGCTGCTGGTGCTCATTGCGGTGGTGGTGATTGCCTACCTGCTGGGCCGCAAGAAGAGGACCGATGGCTACCAGTCTCTGTGAGGAGGGGACTGCCCAGAGCTTATGAAGAAGTCACGAGGTCGAGGACAAAGTAGACTCAGTCAGTGAGGCTGAGATTTTTTTGGGGGGGTTTAAAGGGAACTTCCACTGAAGCCAAAAATGCCATTCTTCTGTCCTTTTTTTGGTCTTAGTTTACCCGATTTACTGTTAGTAACAGTGTTCTATCCAGAAGTGCCGGCGTATGGAGGCAGCAGTGTGCCACTTCGAAGTACTTCAGTGTAATCAATATAAAATAAATTAATGAATAAATAAATTCAAAAAGTTATTAACTAATTAATCAAATTCACACTGAACAAATATCAGCCACCTAAAAGTTTATCCAAAATCCAACCCAGAATGCAGCATATGTTTGTGGAAATCAGGCCAATAAGAGTTTTAACATATGCTGCCCTGTGGGTTGGACTTTTAGGAGACACACTGCTGAACCATCTTTTTATTAAAAACCCAAAATACTTCAAATTAAATTGGTCGCTCCTCTACATTATATCTTTTAGATGTACGTCTTTAGATTGAATTCAATCCAAAAAACACACATGAATTGTTAAAAAGAGAAAAGGACAAAATGAAACTAACTGTTACAGCAAGAAACAAATTAGTCATAGAATTCAATAGACAGAAATGCAAAAAGAAAAAAGGGAAAAACATTTTTTTCTTATAAATTTCATTGAACACATCCGTTTTTAATTCATTTATTTGAACAAGGAATTAAGAAACAGGATGTTAAATTTGTGTTTTGTTATGTTTTTTTTTTTTTTGCTTTAAGTTACATAATGCATCATTTAAATGTAAATAATAATTTGTTCTAGCTTTTGTTTTATTTCTACAGTGGCACACTCTAGACACAGTACAGATGGGTTTAAAAAGGCAAATACAAAGCAATATTTTTTTGAATTTCATGAACAAGCACACGTTTATATGTGAGAATTACACAAAGTTCCAAAGTTCCAGAGTTTGTACTTCTATCAGGACAAAAATCCTTGACGAGAGAAAGTATTTCTAAATTGGAACACTAAATCTCTGCATGCTGACATCCTTATCGATAAAAACTGACCAGAAATGGTTCCTGTTACAACAGACAGCCATAATTAGATCATTTAATTTTTGACATTGACTGACGTGTGTCATTGTGGAGTAAAGATCATATACATTTTACGTCTGTTCTGCATAAATATACTTATTTACTTAACAAATACACGCTAAAGTTCGTTTAAACTTTTATTAACTGTTCTAGGATAGGTGTTCAGTTTTTTTAATCAGATCTTGTGTAATCTGGATTTTATTTTTTTAAAAGGGAAACTTATCCGATCAGTAACTGCACACGTGATTGTACTGTATTATGCGTTTGAATTATTAATCAGCAAAAAGGGAAAAATTACACAGATGCCCTACATTTATTTGCACTGATTGCTGTCCCACCTGATTGCCTTCATCTTTCTCAAGTTACATGTAGCCGATACTGTGTTTTCATACAAATGCATTGATAGAGTGTCCATGTGGGGTCAGTAATGCGTCTTATCTGATGCTGATTAGATTTTTATTTGGTTGTACATTCGTTACATCTCAGGAGTCCATCACTCTTCCCCCACCAAATCCATTCTGTTACACTATACTGCCTTAAAGGAACAGTTTGACAATTTGATCTCTGGCTGTTTCCCTGAGCTTTAATGCTAAGCTAAGCCAACCATCGCTAGCTTCGTATATAATGGACAAGTGTTTAAGTGGTGTAGATCCTCCATGTAACTCTTGACAAGAATGTAGAACTAGTCCTTTAAATATGCATAACTGACACCGACATACAGATTGCATTGTACATGAGCTGCAACTGAAAGGCCATACAAAGGTGATTGCGCTGGTCTGGAAATTTCGATCATAAGACATTGTGTCCATCAACTGAACTTCTTGATTGTGTCAGCATAACAGCCAAAGTGTTGAAATCCTCAGAGAAAACGTGCAGATGTGTCCATCTGCGATTTATTGCAACAACTGAAAATCCCAACTGTGATTGAGAACTCCAGAACAGCTGCTGGAAGGAACTTGTGGTGAGAATATTCTCTAAATGCTGTTTTCAGGGTTTCCAGGTCTGAGAAGCAAAAGCCAATGTGGAAGTGCCTTAAACTTGCGTTCTTTCTAACAGGCAGCAGGGGGCGACTCCTGCAGTTGCAAAAAGAAGCCTGGTTGTTCAGAAGGTCATGAGAAAATTAACCTACTTCTCCCTTGATCTGTTACATCAGTAGACATTTTTCTTATGAGTTTGTGGAGTCAATCGCTAGTTTCTAGACTGTGGTCTAACTTAGAGTAAAACTGATAATAAAGTAGGGTACGTTTAAGGGTGGGGCTACCTTGTGATCGACAGGTTGTTACTGAATTGGCGAATGTTTTGTCCTCGAGTTCTCAGTTAGATCCACTTGTTACTTCTTCCGTCCAGTTTTAAAAGACCAAAATAGCGACCGCCAAATATCAAACTCGAGGCTTTAAAACAGTAGCCCACAAACCAATGGGCGACATCATGGTAGCTACATCCGTCCAATATATCTAGTCTGTGGCCGAGAAAGAACTTTGACCCTCAGGTTTATTCAGGTTCCTGTAGGAAATGCACAAACTGCAATTTGAGCACTCAGGTGACATAGACTAAATTAAAATATTAAAGGATCAGTTCACCTAAATTTCAAAGTGAAACTACATCTGCCTCTCTAAGTGGTGTGTAGCTATGCAGGTGGCTTTCCGTTTCTGCGCACAAATAACTTCTTGTGCCACTTAAACTCAATAGTGTTGAATGTCATCTGTGTGATTCTGAACACATTGAGAAAAAAGTTCTGGTTTATACTTCCAGAATCCCTGTTTTGGTTACTTTGCATAATGCAGGTGAAGTTGTCAACAGGTGTCATGTCACCTCCTTTTGAGGTGAAAACAGAAATTGCAGAGGCCGAGTTCTTAAAATGTGAATAAATAAAGCCAAAGCTATCTGTGTTGTTAGATGCCACCCGAAGGAAGTGAGGAAATGTTGTTTTATTTCGTGGCATTTTGCATGAACTGAACCTGTAAATTTGACAAGGAATGGGAAAATAGGCAACCTTTACTAATATTCTGTATATGTTATACTCTTGAGTCTGCATGTAATGTTTTTGACGGATTGTGTAAAGCTCGGTCAGTAGCTCCTGGATAAGTTCAACTGTGGTGAAGGACCGGGCTGACAGTTCACAGCTGCACTTCCATGTTTTGTCCATCGGGTGATGCTGTGGAGTTAAGGAGGGATCAGAAAAAAGGGACCTTACTGTTGTGAGAGCACTTTTACCTGTTGTTAACGCCTTGCGCCAATAAAGACTGATATATTTCTAAATGTGTGTGTTGATCTGCTTTTCTTTAGATGAATTTTAGAATGGGATGTTAAGCTGGAAATAATATGTTTGAGTACCAGTTCAGACATGTAAAATGAAGAAGTATTTAGCCATCAAACTAAATCAGAATAGTGGCAGGGACCATGTTACCCCTTTTACTGCTTCAATGGAAGTTGCATCCTTCCAATGAAGCAGC